CACTGGCACATACAGCCCCTTCTGCCACTGCTGAGCAACAGGGCCGCTCACCATGGGATGCTCCAAAGTGTAACATCCCATCCGTGCCGGTCCCTTTGTACCTGCTCCTGGGGTGGGGGCTGTGGGATGACCCCCCCGATACATCCATCTGCATCCCAGGCTGAGAGAGAGAGCATTTCTTACCAAGCTCATTTCCTCAGGTGGATTGGATGCTCTTGGTGGCACAAAGGCATTTGATATGGAAATAAGTTAACAGCTGGCTGGGAACTGAACTATGCATGGAGATGGATCAGTTCTGGGGGGCCTGGGCACTTCACCTCCTTTTCCTGGAAGATGAACACTACTCTGAGAGGCAGCAAGCACTGGGAAGCTGGGGACCATCAGGGCATGGGCCACTTCTACCTAAGCTCCCTGCTTGTGATCAGAACGGGCAAGGCTTTCAGAGCTCACACTTAGATTCCTTACCTGCATCTTCTCCCCTTCTGCTGCCAGAGGGCTGTGTTCCCCTGCAGCTGAGCTTTAGGCACCATTCACACCAGTGCAGGCACCTTTCCAGCTGTCCTGGTCAGAAAAACCCAGTAACATCCAAAAAACCCCAGGAACTTCAAAGCCCTGTTTTCACCTACCTCTGCCTCTTCATCAAGGAGATAAAACTTTCCATGGAAGAAAACACAACATTCTTCATGCTGGAAAAGGGCAGGACACCTACTTTCTCTATGGGATTTAGCAAATGCCTTTGCAGAGGGCTCTTGTCACTGCTGTGGGGCAAATTTTTAGCCCTTCCAGCTGCACAGACAGACTTCAGGTCACGAGCTGAATCCAAACAAAAGTAGGACATCCATCCTGAGTGTGGGAACACACCAGGGCTGGACTGGTTTAAAGGAGCAAGATGGACCAAATGTAATTTAACAAGTTAAACATCAGCACTGCTGACTCCACCACCCATGCAGGTGCTGTCTCCTCTCCCCACATGCCCTCAGCCCCATAAAGACACTATACAAGGATGCAAACCCAAACCAACGTCATGTGCCACCAAAGCACTCAGGGTTGAGCTGATGTCCCTGGCCCTGCAGAGCCCCAGAGGATCCCAGGAAGCACCTGAAACACCCTCAGGTTTTTTCTTACCAAAAAGCAGTTCCTGAGCCCACCTTTCAATCACCAGCTTGTGCACAAAATCCTGAGCCCTGGGAAATCCTAGGGAAGCAAAGGGCCTCAGGAGCACAAAACCAACTGCAAACCAACTTTTAGAGAAATGGTATTTAGATCTGGAAGGCTGTTTTATTTGTTTATTTTCCCCCCATCAGGAGGAAATGAGGTGAAGGCTGGTTTCCCAGGTCAGACTGTAACCAGCAGCTGTGCCCTGAGGGCCCCTCTCTGCCTCACCATCAGACAGCAATTGCTGCAGAGGTTTGAGGCTAGTGAGGGATTTCCAGCTTCAAGGGGGATGAAGCCTGTGAAAGACGTGCCTGCACCGGAGGGGCTTCCTAAAGTAGGGCAGAGGACAGGGCCACCAGAGAAACCCTGGTGCTGGGAGGACAGGCTGAGCAGAGAATTCACAGAGAGCAGATTCAATTAATTAACGCCTGGAGACGTGACTCGCCCACACCACCAGAGGGCGACCTGCTCAGCATTTCTCCCCCATCACTGCCCTAATTAGAGGTTTTCATCACAGAAACATCATCATCCTACAGCAGATACAGGGCATGATGCTCCAGCCAGGCCCCCAGCTGTTCAG